CTGGGGATCCCACAGCAGCCAAAGTGACCATTTGAGCTGCTGTGGGCTCATGCTCTGGGCTCATGCTAGGCGGGCTATGCAAACAAGTTCAGCCCCTGAAGTTCTTTTGCACAACTCGCCACAATTCACCACCAGATGTCAAGGTAGAGCTCATCCTGACTCTGCTTTTACATCTACAACCATACGAGGAATTGAAAAACATGCAAGTTCCTATCAGGCAATACATACATCATTATAGGATCCAGTTCATGCAAGCTGGGTTTGATTCTGCTGCCAAATAAATCAAGAGTAACTCCACTGAAGTCCATAGTTACAGCAGTGTCAAACAGATGTAAAGAGAATCAGGCCAACCACGGGCCTATTAATAGGAGGGCATATGGAACCTCAATCTTTGTTTCCAGACAGAGTAAGGCCATCAGCCATTCACTAGAAATTGACACTCCGAAAATGTACAAAAAATAGTTTGATGACCATGTATATCCATGTTTCTTTAGAAGGTGTCAAAACTATTGTTTGTATAATATGCACTTTTTAAATATTAAAAACAAAGTAGAAATATCTTGAGATGAATTTTATTATTCATAATATCACATTCTAGGATGCATATCCAATTTATCAATAAATCTATGCTTAAAGTAAATATTTAGGAATAACTATGATTCTGTATTTTTGGACAGACAAAATCCAGCAATGTATTGCTGCCATATCTAGGAGTGACTGAGATATTTATTATGACTGTTATGCAGCCACCTCTTTGTGAACTTTAAGTTGAGTTTGTCTCATACTGCTAAGAATCAAGATCCCCAACTTGTCCTTTTCTTTGAGGTGAAGAGGCAAACCAGCGAGGTCTGTCATACCAGCCTCCTTTTTCCTTCAGGCTCTCCTCTCCCTTTGTGCTGTTTATAGCTTTCCTATCCACCATCAGAGTGAAATCAAGATGATCCTGGTCAGTTTTGGTGCTATCTACAAGTTTCTGAATAGCAGAGGCAGAAATGGAAATGACCAGAGTGTGTTAATTTAATAATGTTGCTAACTCATAAGCAGGGCCATTCCTAGACATTTTGGTGCCCTACGCAGCCTCCGCGGGAGGGGGTGGGGGCTGGCCCCAGGCCACCGCGGGCGGGGGGCAGGGAGGAAACTCCCCCCCAGCACGAGCCAGCAGAGCAGAGAGGTTTGGGGCCGGGTCGCTCCACTTCCTGCCGCCCAGTGAGTGCAGGGCAGGCCCAACCCTGCACTCACGGGGTGGCAGAAAGTGGAGTGACCCTGCCCCAGCCTGCTCCGCTCTGCTCCCCTGGCTCCCAGCCTTGGGACTGGGGAGGCAGGGGGGAATGGCCGCACTCACTGGTGGCGCAACTGGGAGCTGGCGGCGCGGAGCAGGCTGGGGCCGGGTCGCTCCACTTCCCACCGCCTGGTGAGTGCAGGGCGTGCCCAATCCCTGCTGCAGTCCCCCGAGACATTGCTCAGGGGACGGGGTGGAGTGGGGGCGGGGCTGCGGTGGAGCAGGGGCGGGAAGAGGCGGGGCTGAGGCAGAGCAGGGGCGGGGGCATTGGGGAAGAGGCGGAGCAGGGGCAGCTTTCCTGGGCGGCTCAGCCGTCCAGGGGATTGGGCTGGCCGCTGGAGCAGCACACAGCTGTGTAGGGCACCAGGAAATTTGGGGCAATTTGGTACCCCAAATTTCCTGGTGCCCTACGCAGCTGCATACTTTGCGTATGGGTAAGGACGGCCCTGTTCATAAGTAGTAAGAAATGCACAGGAGTTGTTGGTCTGAAGACCCAAAAAGACACCAGGACTGCATTGATTTACTTTATTCCAAACATCTTCACAACCCTAACAGCTAGGAACATTATTTTTAAAATTAAAAGCTAGTTAGCTTAGGGTTAATTCTGTTCCCAACTTTGCTGTGGGTAAGTGGATTTTTCATGCCCTGGAAGAGGTCTGAACATAATCGGAATGGAAAGTAGTTTCTTTTGGGATTCAACATTTGTAGAATCCAAGTAGCTACTGAGAGTTAACCTATAATAAAATTGTTCCCAGTTTAACTGTTATCCACTTTCACTGTGTGCAAGTTGATAAATGATAAGGCTATTAAAGACTTTTTATCCCTTTCCCCATGGGCTCCCTTAATAAAAAAAATGGTAAATAATTAGATTTCTATCAGTTTTTAGAGACTAAAGCAAGTATATTTTCTTGACCAGTTTTTATTATGCTGTCACATTGTGTTTGTTACACTGTTTCTTTTGCATAACATAGCATTTTTAGTTGAAAAGACATTTAAATTAATAGAAGTTCTCATGTGTTTTACACTGGAAATATAAAATATTAATACAACAAATTCATTTCAAGTCAGTACTGGTAGAAGATTGTAACCATCCACTGGCTGTTTAGTGGCCAATGTAAAATGAGTTTGGTGGTTTCATACCAGGTCTTAGAGGACAAGTGTGTTCACATCACAAAGTTATCAATGCAACCGGACCTAATCTGCACCCTAGTGAAGTGAGGCCAAAGGCTGAAAGGATACGGAAGCTGAACTATCCTTTCTCCACTAAAGGTAGTCCTTCAAAGTCAGACATGAGACACACTGGTAAAGCAGTTTGAGCCTCTGCTGCCCATGCACCATTTGTCTGTGCATAGAGCACTTCAGTGTCTGTCATTCCAGCACCTCTCACACCACACAGTTTGCTAAAAATGAAGGTTTCTGTTTTGTTTTTTAAGTCAAAAACACTACCAATGAGGATATGAAACTCATGCTTTGAAATGATCATTTAACCTATTATTGGCAAACTTGCTTTTTTTCCCCTCCAAGAGTTATACAGACTCAAAGACTTTAAGGCCAGAAGGGACCATCATGATCATCTAGTCTGACCTTCTGCACATTGTTGGCCACAGAACCTCACCCACTCACTCCTGTAATAGACCCACAACTTCTGGCTGAATAACTGAAGTCCTTAAATCATGATTTAAAGACTTCAAGTTACAGAGAACCCACCATTTACACTAGTTTAAACCTGCAAGTGACCTGTGTCCCATGCTGTAGAAAACGGCGAAAAAAAGCCCAGGCTCTCTGCCAACCTGACCTGGGGGGAAATTCCTTCCCAACCCCAAATATGGTGATCAGTTAGACCCTAAGCATGTGGGCAAGACCCACCAGCCAGACACCTGGGAAAGAATTCTCTGTAGTAACTCAGAGCCCTCCCCATCTAGTGTCCCATCACTGGGATATTTGCTGGTGATATTTGCTGCTAGCAGTCGCAGATCAGCTACATGCCATTGTAAGCAGTCTCATGCCCTCCATACATTTATCATGCTCAAACTTGAAGCCAGTTAGGTTTTTGCCCCCTGCCACTACCCCTAACCTCTTTGTTACTCTTATTAAAAACCGAGGCAAAGTATTTGTTTAGGCATTGGGCTATGCCTAGATTATCTTTAATCTCCACCCCATCCTCAGTGGTCCCACTTCTTCTTTCCTTGGTTTCTTTTTATTTATATGGCTATAGAACCTTTTGCTGTTGGTTTAATTTCCTTTGCAAGATCCAACTCTGCTTGGCTTTTGGCAGCTCTCGCTTTATCCCTATACTTTCTGACCTCCAAGAAGTAGCTTTCTTTGCTGATTCATCCCATCTTCCATTCCTGGAATGCTTTCTGCTTTCTCTTAATCACCAGTTTGAGATTTGCTCATCCAGCTTGGTCTGCAACTCTTCCCTATGAATTTTTTCCCCTTGCTTGGGATGCAGGCTTCAGATAGTTTCTGCAAAGCATGTTTTTCAGCAGCAAAGAGTTCGATTAATCAGGATAACTTCCTTTCCTAACCCAATTCATGCAGAAAATGACTTCAGAATATGACAAAGATTCCTGGCTGGACCCTCATATTTGTGATTTCTTATGGTCAGGTGCCCACTGTGTGATAAGATACATTTTGTGGTACATGATAGTCTGAAAAGTCTCACTTCTCAAAGATACCTCATGCTATAGAGCCAAATGCTCTATTTTTAAACTAAAACAGAGAATTAAACATTTCTTTCAATATAATTTAATTTTTATATTTCAGTGCAATTTCATACAGTACCTTAAAGAAACTTTTCTTTGTACTGAAGAAGTAAATGACTGTTTAGCCAGACAGACAACCCATTGGTGTTAGATTGGAACATTTTTCGAGGAAATGAAGTTTCATCAAAGCTGAAATGTTTTGTGAAGATGTACCCATTTCAACATACCATATTTATCGGGTGGCGGGAATGGTGTGGTGTGGGGGAGAGAGAAGGCTCCCCGTCTTCAAGGGCGTGCGCAGGGATTTAAATGTGACTACTTTTGGGGTCGGCACTTTAAACACTAGCCCCTCACTCAATGCCTCCAGGCCCTGCTGTTTCCCCTACCCCCCTGGCTCCTGCTGCCTCCCCAGGTTCCCCACCTATCCCCAGGTGCCCCACTGCCTCTCCCCTCCCCCTCATTGTCCCAGGCTCCAAATACTTACTGGAGGCTGCGGGCTAGGAAGGGACAGAGCTCAGCAGGCTTCCCAGGCCCTCCTCTCGCAGAACTCTGCTGCCAGCCCAGCTTCCCTGCTCTGGGCGCCATCTAGTGGGGCTCAGCGGGAGCATTAGCTGGAGTGCCTTTCCCAGGCACATCTCTTCAGCGGAGCTCAGACCGACTACCACCCTGGAGGGGCTTGGGGGAGGGAATCCCAGGGCGGCGGCCGGGGCAGAAGCTGCGGACGGTGGCAGAGATGATTACTGGGGAGTCCCATGCTCCTGCTTGCACCCCTTGCGCACGCCCCTGCCCATCATTATAAAATAGCCAGGAAGGGCAATGGCAGGGGAGTGGGATGGGGAGGGGGAAGGAGAATAAGGACGTGGCAGGGTCTGAAGCAGAGAAGCAGAAATAATGTTTACTGGCCACTAAAAATGTGCAGACATTTTGTTTCTTGATTAGGCGAGGTTACACAGACGTCAAACTGTAAACATATTGCTGAACCAGACCAGCTTTTCTATTTTCTTTACTTAGTACCTTTGAATTCAAAGAAAACAGTAAACAAGTTTAAAAATTAAATTAACAAAAAGAATCACTATATCTGTAGTACAAAGGACAAATACTTAAACTCAGCGATTGTTTAAATATTTGGCTCATATATGCAAGTTAATATAGAGACAGGAGACAAATAAACACATATTAAAGCAAATCACAATTTGCCACATTTAAAAACAAGTCACAGAAGACAACAAATAAGTAATTATGGTCGGACAACCTTATCTGTAATAGGAAGCACTTAGAAACAACACAAAATGTATCTATTTGTAACAAACTACACATGAACGTTATCCACATTACTAAAAAGACACAATTGTGCCAGTGCCACATATCTCCCTAAGGCAAAACTCCCAACGGATTTCAAGTAAAGCATACAGGATTGGACTCCAAAAGGTACAACCAAGTAGCCTGAAACATATAAAACACAATTTTCAAACAAGTGCCTACAGATAGATACTAAAAGTCATATTTTAGGTATCCATCATTTCTACTTAAGTAACTGAATCTTAACTATGTCAATAGGAGCTGATGACGCTCAGCTCCTCTGGGGAAAAAAAATCAGACCCCTTATTTAGGGGCCAACATATCACTTTCAGTTCCTAACTAAAGGCTTCAATGTTTTCAGACATGGACCACAATACATGCAACCAAATTAAAACAACTGCATTTTTCCCTCTGACCCAACAGCAGCTTTAACTGTCAACTTTTAAGAAAAGGGTCTATAGAAGTCTTACCCTTGGCAAAAGCCTTCTTCCCCACATTGGTCATCCCTGTGCCTTTCAACCTAAATTCTTAAAGCCCCTACCACAGTGAATTTTAAATGATAAATTATGATTAAAAATACCTCCTCTGCATAAGTTTGGTCATTTAGCAATAGTTTCTCATCATTATCTAAAGGACAATTATCTAGAGGCTCACTCAACAACACTCTGGCACTGTTTTGTTACTTCAGACTTCATGGAGTTGAGTTTTTCAAGGTGGTTTTTAAGTTCTTAGAAACAGTATAGAACATACAAATATGGAGAGAGAACACAGTCATATTTACAATAGCTATTTCAGAAGCAGCATTACATATCTGACTATGCCAGATAAGATTGCATTGAGTGACACTGATCTTTTTACCCTTATCATGCCCAGTACTTGCAACAGAGACTAGCACACATCATGGTGCTTCACAGGAAAGCTATTACTTTTTATGTTTAAACTTCTCTACCCAATAACAAAAGTGAAAACAATAATAAAAATAAATAAGTGACTACACTTCAGAGTTTTCAGTAAATAAAGCACAAAACAACTCGTAGTACCTGGATTGTGGGGTTCATTTCAACCTTAATACCCGCCCCCTCCCAAAAAATCAACTAAATACCAGCAGGGAAAGTAACTGCTCAAATTATTAGAATCAGTATTTTGTTCCAAACCAGCGGTTAACTTTTTCAGTGCTTAGATAAAGAACCAGATTGACTATATAGTATTCCTTGGTTTCTTCTATCCAAACCAGCTCAACGTGGACTTTACCCTCTGAATCCACATAGTTTAAGTCATAGTTGTGGCCCATATAGTCATAAAGGCAGGATGCCTTGGAAGAAAGTTTCATGTAGACTGGGGCACTGAAACACCAGAAGGGTTTTTCGGTTTCATCCAAGAGGGTCACATCCATCACGTAACAGTTCTAAAAACATAAGGAAAAAACATTATCTTTCTATGTGCAACATATATCATAATTACCATAGGGCTACATCTCATAGTCCTTGCACAGTTAGGCAGAATTACCACTGATGTTAGGGGGAATTCTCCCTGATTTAGGGCTGTACAGACTGCAAGATTTGGCACATAGGTAGATAGTCAAAGTAAAATTCACAGCACTTCAACGGCCACTGTAAAAGGACTGCAATCTATTTAACTGAAAAGGTTTCCAACCAATAGGATTATAGTCTACGCATGCCATTGGTAGCCTCCCACCAAGCACATGGTGATACCAGCCAATACCATAAGCAATGTTTTAAACATTTTTTAAAATATTTAAAACTATATCTATAAATAAGCACAATTAGTGTGCTATTAGTTAAAATAGTAAGATGTCCACCATTATGAGCAAACATGTGGAGTTTAATCTTTGGCCCAGGACTTCCATGGACCAGGCAATATCCCAAAACAGGTACAAAGAGTTCCATGATTGTAGAAAAATAAATAGAGACGTGCACAAAACAGAGATCAGCCTTTAAACTAAAAATACTGCAAGACATCCCCCTGCTTAACCTTCTAGGAATGGGCAGAGGCTGTAGAGGTCTTTGATTCCCAAAGGGACAAATTCGATATTTTAATCTTCCTTTTAAAATATATACTAAAATTAAATAAAATACTTAAAAATGATTCTTTAAAACAATGTATGAAAATATTACACAAGACTATAAAATATCAAGGTTTACATCAGTCAACATATAGAATTCTTGGGTGTTTTGATGCAAGAAGTATTTACAGGCTTGTACATTATCATTCTTCAAGGTATACAAATACTTAGCAGACATACACAGCAGGTGATGTGTCATTGCCAATCGGCAATGAGTTCAGAATTGTTAAAACTACTCCTGGACTCTGAACGAGGATATACATTTTCACTTTTATGGGTCACACCATATTAATTATGTTGTGTAGACAAACTATCTGATGTTTCTCAGCCAAACGTATAAAGTAAAAAACAAAGCAATTAAAAAGGCGATTTTTCAAAATATAAGAGAAATATCTGGTTCACACTTGTTTATTCATAGTATAATCAAGTCAGCGCAACGTTTCACATACAAGATATACACCTACCTCATAGAACTGGAAGGGACCCTGAAAGGTCATCGAGTCCAGCCCCCTGCCTTCACTAGCAGGACCAAGTACTGATTTTTGCCTGAGATCCCTAAGTGGCCCCCTCAAGGATTGAACTCACAACCCTGGGTTTAGCAGGCCAATGCTCAAACCACTGAGCTATCACCCCCTCCCTTAAATTAATGGAGATAGCCTATCTCCTAGAACTGGAAGGGACCTTGAAAGGTCATTGAGTCCAGCCCCCTGCCTTCACTATCAGTGACCAAGTACTGATTTTGCCCCAGATTCCCCAAGTGGCCCCCTCAAGGATTGAACTCACAACCCTGGGGTTAGCAGGCCAATGCTCAAACCACTGAGCTATCCCTCCCCCCTAAAAAGGTCATCAAGTCCAGCCCCCTGCCTTCACTAGCTGAACCAAGTACTGATTTTGCCCCAGATCCCTAAGTGGCCCCCTCAAGGATTGAACTCACAACCCTGGGAAGATGTCATGAGGGAAGTCAGCAAATTTTCCTTTCTCATGCCCTTGATTTTTAACCCTTCTTAGTGACAAAATCCTTGTCTTTCATTACTGATTTTGTTGTTCAATTACAGTGATGTTACATTTAGATACAAAGAGATTAATACTACCTTCAAATTAGTCCGGATTTAGGATGTACTATTTTACTGATATATCATGACACATTAGGCACTCCTTATCTCAAGATTATTTATTCTTTAAATCAAACATCTGTGTATAACATAACACTGATGTCTTTTGAAATACATTAACTTTGTATTGTCACTTAACCTGCAAATATGATATCCCATATCATAAAACAATCCAAGAGTTAATGAAATGTTAAGGTGGAGAAATAAAGCATTCAGAAGTCAGGAAATGCAGATCAGAGATGTAAACTCAATCTTAACTATGTCCCTTATGAGTATGCCTTAAAATATGGTCTCTCTTCATATCATATTATTTTATCATATAATATATAGTACAGAGGAGACTAAATTATAGAACCTTACATCCAAGATGTTATAATACAGTACATACAATCTTCAGAATTAGCTTTCTTTGTAGATCTTGATGACACTTAAAATACAAGCCAAGTTTGAAGAAAACCAGTTCCGTAAATTCAAGGGTCATAGATTTTAAGGGTGTTATCTTCTTGTCTGACCTCTTGCATAACATAGGCCTGCTATGAAAGTTCAAATCTGAACAGCCTAGACTTTGATGTCTGTCTGCCTGCCCCACCCTCCAAATATTAGGGCTTCCATAATTACTACTTGAAGAGCAGAGATAATTTTTCTAAATGGATGTCTAAGTTGCAAATGGAGATTCTTTTTATGTTTCAGTAAAAATGGCTGGACTGCTTTTGCACTGTGTGCATAACATCTCATTATTTTCCAATCAAAATTTATGCACATCGACCCAATTGCTGGAGATAGAAATAAATTTAGCTTATATCTTAAATATCAATGAAATCATCAAAACATGTGAAGGTTGAAGAAAATCACCCACAGCACCACTTTTTCCTGTAACATTGTATATATAAAAAACATCAGTTGATACCAGTTGACACCTCTACCCCGATATAACGCGACCCGATATAACGCGAATTCGGATATAACGCGGTAAAGCAGCACTCCGGGGGGGGCGGGGTTGCATGCTGCGGCAGATCAAAGCAAGTTCGATATAACACGGTTTCACCTATAACGTGGTACGATTTTTTGGCTCCCGAGGACAGCGTTATATCGGGGTATAGGTGTATTTGTAAAAAATAAACGTATGTGAAGATGTGAAAATAAACCTTTTACATCATAGGTACAATGAGGCAGAGTTCAGATGGTTTCACCCTTAGTTCTCTATTTCTTTTGAGAGCTTAATTTCTCATCCTTTGATGTTACATTAATAATTGTTTGCATGAAATACATTTTTTAAAAAAGAAAGGATAACAGAATGCCAGTTAGGTGTAAGTTCCATAGTTTTATGGTCTTTAGCTTGACACTTCCTGAACCCAGTACCTTTTTAAGCAAGACCTCCTAAGATCATCTTCCATCAAGACCTTTTTGCCCTGATTCAGTAAATCACGTAAGCATGTGCTTTCGTCCCATTGACCTTAAGCACATGAATAATTCCATGAAGTTAATGGGACTTATACACATGCTTAGGAATTCTACATAAACAGGGTATAAACTCAAGAGCCAACACAAACTTTTAAAAAGCCTCAAAGAAGTTTAAAAGTAATCTACTCTGCATAACATTTCCGACTTAAAATAATCATAGCTCTCGAACTTTCAAATATGGCTATTTCTAGATTCAGCTATTTTCAGTTTTCTAACCACAACATTTCTGATTGATTGATACAAATGGGAAAAGTGTATTTTTCATATATACAAAACTTAAAAAAAAAAAAAAAAAAAAAGCTCAGCTGATCTTGCAGATACTAGAACAGGGGTCAGCAACCTTTCAGAAGTGGTGTGCCGAGTCTTCATTTATTCACTCTAATTTAAGGTTTCGCGTGCCAGTAATACATTTTAATGTTTTTAGAAGGTCTCTTTCTATAAGTCTATAATATATAACTAAACTATTGTTGTATGTAAAGTAAATAAACATTTTAAAAACCCTAAGAAGCTTCATTTAAAATTAAATTAAAATGCAGAGCCCCCTGGACCAGTGGCCATGACCCGGGCAGTTTGAGTGCCACTGAAAATCAGCTTACATGCCGCCTTCGGCACACATGCCATAGGTTGCCTACCCCTGTACTAGAAGAAGAAATCTCACCTCTCTTTAGGGTTGCCAGGCATCCGGTTTTCGACCAGAATGCCCAGTCAAAAAGGGACCCCGGCGGCTCTGGACAGCACAGCTGACCAAGCTGTTAAAAGTCCGGTCGGCGGAGCAGCAGGGCTAAGGCAGACTCTCTGCCTGCCCTGGCTCCGCACAGCTCCCAAAAGCGGGTGACATGTCCCTGCGCCCCCTAGGTGGAAGAGAGGCCAGAGAAGCTCCATGTGCTGCCCTCACCTCAAGCACCGGCTCTGCAGCTCACATTGGCTGGGAACCGTGGCCACTGGGAGCTGCAAGGGCAGCGCCTGCGGGCCTGGGCAGCACGCAGCACACAACGGGCAGAGCCCTCTGGCCTCTCCTCCTAGGAGCCAGACATGCCGGCCACTTCCAGGAACAGCATGGAGCCTGGGCAGGCAGGGAGCCTGCCTTAGCTCTGCTGCGCTGCTGACTGGGAGCCACCAGAGGTAAGGGCTGCCCAGCCAGAGCCTGCACCCCAACCTCCTACCCGAGGTCAGAACCCCCTCCCTCACCCAAACTCCCTCCCAGAGCCCAAACCCCCTCCCGCACCCTTACCCCAGCCTTGAGCCCCCTCCCGCACCCAAACTTCCTCCCGGAGCCTGCACCCCAATCCCCTACCCCAGCCCTGAGCCCCCTCCCACACTCCAAACCCCTCAGCTCCAGCCCAGAGCCCCCTCCTGCACCCTAAACTCCTCATCATTGGTCCAGAGTCCACACCCCCAGCCGGAGCCTGCATCCCCGCCCCTGCCCCAGCCCTGAGCACACTCCTGCACTCCAAACCCATCATCCCCAGCCCCACCCCAGAGTCTGCACCCCGAGCCGGAGTAATCACCCCCTCTCATACCCCAACCCCCTGCCCCAGCCTGGAGCCCCCTCCCACACCCTGAACCCCTCATTTCTGGCCCCATCTGGGAGCCCGCACCCCAACCCCCTGCCCCAGCCCAGTGAAAATGAGTGAGGGTGGGGGAGAGCGAGCGACATAGGGAGGGCGGCTGGAGTGAGTGGTGGTGGTGGGAGGGGGGCCTCAGAGAAGGGGCATGGCCTTGGGTATGGGACAAGGAAGAGGGCGGGACAAGGGTGTTTGGTTTTGTGCAATTAGAAAGTTGGCAACCCTACATCTGGGCAAAGACCAGGCGTAAGAAATTTCAGTCAGAAAGGAATTTGAGAATGTTATAAACAATTGAAGAGTGAGGACTCAATGGAAGTTATAATTCAATCTTAACTGTAGTGGGTATTGCCAACAGCAGCTGCAGTAAATCACTAAAAATTAAGCTGAATTTTACACTCACTGTTGCCCAGAACAACTGATTAACACTGTAAAGCACAATGCAGGTAGTTTAACATGTGGGAACCAAATATTAACTCACTCATCGTACAGTACATCTTTCTGCTCAGCCTGCCTAACTGCAAAATCGCAACTCCTATTAATTGTATTTGTTTATGTCAAAATAATATTATCAAAATGTCAAATTCAAGCATAAACTCTTTAGTATATATTCATTTTTAGGACTGTTTGAAAGACTGGTGCACAGATTACTTCAAATGTGTACTCATTTAAAGGTTTCCAATCTACAAAAGTTAAGTATGTTAAAAATGTATTTTTAAACACTGTTGCAGTATATTACTTCAATCTCCTTATTAAAAATATGCATGTTTGTAGTTTTTGGACAGCTCTCTTTTAGGAATTTAATACAACAGAGTCCTAGGCAGGCATTTCTCAAGAACAGCATTAGCTTCACAACCTCCATAACATCTGGATTTTATGAGATTTTTACAAGTTAAACTACCCAAAACAACTTTGTAACATAATTAGCATGCATATGTCACTTTTTTTTTAAATAAGTATTTCCAGAAACAAAACATTAGTGATTTACCTGTACATTGCCTTCAAACACATCAGTTCTCCAGAAGAAGCCAACTTTCCCAGCAAGAGGTAAATGTTGTGAATTATTTTTTAAACTTATAACTGTAAGCCTCAAGTATCCATTTCGAATGTAATCTGAAAAGAGTAACAATACATGCATAGTTACAGCACAACAAATCAAACTAGGTCAGCCACTCAGGGAATGTTCTTACCTCTACATTTCCTTTCTCTAAACTCTCTATTCACCTCCTGCACATTAATAGGATACTTTCCTCAAGAGCCAATAATTCTTCATACCCAACCAGCTGAAAAATTCAAGCCAGCATGTCTCAAAGATGCAAAGGATTAGTTTATTTTCTGAGGTGACAAAAGATGGGGTGGAGTTGGGATTTTCATTTTATTCAAATACAGAAATCTGAGGCCAACCAAGTAGAGTTAAAAAGAATGCAAATAAAGAGTCCCAAATTAAATGTTTCAATCCCTTCGAATATAACAAAAACATCAGGCTTAACGTCAGAGAAGGAGAAGACTAGTGGTGCTTCATTATCACTCTTTTGTCCACTTTGTCTGATGCATGGTATCATGCTGCACCAATATCGATTCCAGGGTGCATTTATTTATATCAGCAAGTGGAAAACCTTGACTTAAATAAAAGATTTATGTTTCTTGCTTGTCCTGTTTTTCCCCCAAAGAAAGATTCATTTTCATTGGTTAGTACAAGCATTAAAACATATTGTTTTGATTACTTACAATTAAATATAGCCTTTTTATTGGATCTGGTACGCCTTTTTGCTAAGAGGGAAAGAATTCCTGGGTATTTTTCCCCCAAATGGGAAGTTTCCTTTCTAATGGACATGGAATATTCAGTGGCGAATTCTGAGGCCTGATTATATTATGGTGTTTATCTTAATAATCCATAGATATCTTACAAGGACAAACTATCACTTCATGAGATAAGTGAACTTCTTCATAGGACACACACCATAAAACTAGGTCCCCTTGAAGAAGAGATACTAAGGCTGATAAATCACCATGAGCAAGAAGGGAGGAGGGAGTGTCATTGGAGTTCTTTACCATACTGATGAAGGAAAAGGAAACATCAGGTCTAGCCCTCCATAGATTATCTCAATTACTGACGAATACAGGGTTGGAGTCACTCGTGCTGGCACAAAAGGTGGTGTAAATTATCCTCCCTGCATGGGCCTGACTCCACTACACCAGGTTGTTGCTAGTGAAGGGAAAGTGGGAACAGGTTTAAATTCCCCCAGTGTTTCCACAGGACACCACCTTTCACAAACACAGCAGGGAAGTGCTGAGGCAGTGCAGCCATCCTAGCCATATCATCTCTATAACCTAGCTGAACACTTTTTGGGGCTCCGATACCTACCTGCAAAACCCACACACGCCTGAATCTAACTCACAGTATTTCCACCAATAGTTTAGCAAACTGTGGAACTATATATACAGTATGTTACCCAAATGCCAGAAGTGCAAGGAAAATCTCACTATGGTTTGGGTGTAGTAGCGGAATTCACCCACAAAATAATGAAATGGCTAGCACATCTGTGTACCACTACTCTTTACTGGACATGAAAAGAACTGCTTGACTTTGGCATGGGCCCTATGCTGAGAGTAACAGAGATTTTGCATGAGCTCAGGTGGTAGGGGTCTGCTTTAGGTTTAGGAGCAAAATTATTTGACTTCTATCATAGGTGCTGGAATTAGGGGTGCTGAGGGTACCGCCACACCCCCTGGCTTGAAGTAGTTTCCATTATATACAGGGTTTACAATTTGGTTCAATGGCTCTCAGCACCCCCACTATAAAAACTGTTCCAGCATTCCTGACTTCTATCCTCAATGTCACAGTGCAGTTCCAAATGGCTGTGGTGCACAGTATAGTGACAACCAAAGATTTCACAGATGGGAAAGGATTTGCTATAGTACTCAGGAGCTGGGAGTCCTGGTGCCACAGGTGAAGAACACAGACCACACAATCCTCACTCTGAAAGCTAGAACCATGCTGGAGAGAACCCTGAAGGATGCCATGCGCTGCCAGTATGTGGAAAACCTGAAGCGCAAGCCAGACCAGGGCAAGGGGTTTGAGGTGACCTGCAAGTGGGACGCCAGCAACCACTTCCTCCCCGGGGGCAGTTTCACCCGATTTGCTGACTGGAGGTTCATCCACAGGGGCCGGATCAACTGCATTCCGCTGAACGGAGCTGTCTGCTAAGGGAATCGGGACAAGCGATGTAGGACGTGTGGCTATGCTAACAAGACACTACCCCACGTCTTGTGTATCTGCAAGCCTCATTCCAGAGCCTGGCAGCTGCGACACAATGCCATCCAAGATCGTCTGGCCAGAGCCATCCCACTACCCATAGGGAAGACTGCCGTGAACTCCACCATCCCCGAAACCGACAGCCAACTGCGACCGGACATCGTCATCACCAACAAGGACCGGAAGAAGATCATCATGATGGACGTCACAGTGCCCTTCGAGAACAGGACCCCGGCCTTCCAGGATGCCCGAGTTCAAAAGGTGGAGAAATACACCCCTCTGGCTGAAACCTTGAGAGCTAGGGTTACCAAGTTCAGATCATCAGAGCCCTGGGCGCATGGGACCCCAGTAACGAGTGAGTGGTGCGGGAATGTGGAATCATTCAGTGCTACGCTCGGCTGATATGGCAACTCATGGTGTTGGACGCCATCGGGTGGTCGAGGGACATCTACATAGAGCACATCACCGGACATCGGCAAAACCAGGAGGGATAAGCTGGAGTGCCAATGAGAAGTGCAGTCAGGAAAGTAATTGAAATACTTTCTTCATGGATTGTATTTTCTAAATGGACAACCTATCCTAAATGCTCAATTACTGAGGGACAATCTTCACTCATTGATATATTTTGCTTTCCACAACTAAATCTTTGTACAACTTTTCATGAATGATGTACCTGAATACTTGGATGCTAATATCTAAACTGTATTCTTAAATGTATTCACCTAAATTTGGGTTTTTGTTGATTATGTACTATGTGTATCATATGACTTTTAAAAACAAACTTTGTATTTGTGGATAATCTAAGCACTATACCCAGATGTACATACACTTTTCTCAACCTATGTATTATATAATTTTTTAACATTAGCTTTAATAAAATTGTTAAATTTGTTTTTAAACAGTGCTGTTCTCTCCATCCACCCATATCCCAACAAAGTTGAAAACAAACTGATTTAATGTACTGCATGACTGTCTGGCAAGCTACCAAAATTCACATTTGTACTGGCTCACATCTAAAACTTTATGCCAACAAAATCCTCAGTGAGAAGCATATGGTATGCAGAAATAGAGCAGTGAGAGACAGAGAGGGGAAGTTCTCTCCCCCCATTTACAAATGCTTGTAAAGTGCTTTGCGAACCTTAAGTGAAAACAGTTTAAATTAAAGAGACCAAGTATTATTACATACAATTTTTAACAAATTATACTCTAGTTCTACTATAGAACAAAATAAAATACCAATTCCTTATGTACAATGGCCAAAATTTTTAAACTTTGGTGCCTAAAGCTATGTGCAATAATACAAAATTAAACTGCTTACCTTTAGGCACCATTTGAAAATTTTGGTCTATAATGTGATGCCTCATGGAATCTGGGGGACACTTGAGAATATTATGAATATGAATATTGTAAAATTGTAATGAGTTATGCCAGATATACTGTGTGAGGTATCTGCAAAAAATGTTATCATTTGCCAGATGTGATAATCTCATTTATGTGTTTGTATCACCTTTGTATTATGAGTTATAGATATGTATGTATGTATGTCTGTATTGCAAACTTGTGCTATGCTTCTGGGTGGCACTCCCAGATAGTATGGCATCAGCACTGCCTAGCCTGCTTGATGGCCCATTAAGGAACATCAGCTATACAATAGACTCATTGAGAGAAGGCAGATATACCTTATGACTCAACAAGGCATGCAGGGGCATGCCTATGGACAGAACTCTAAGGATTTCAAGCCATGTGCGGGTCCGTTTGTGTTTGAAACAAAAGGAAGCACAGGCCGCATGGCAAAAGACTACAAAAGGCAGCTGCATCTTCTCCATTTTGTCTTCAATCCTACTTCTTACCTCTGGAGGAACCTTTGCTACAAAATGAAGCTCTGAACAAAGGACTGAATGACCCATCCAAGCTGTGGATGTATTCCAGAGGGACTTTCAAGCCAGCAAACTCACCAATACTCCTAGGAACCTGAAGTCTTTGTATGTATGTAACTGTTTTATCATTTAACATCTCTCTTCTTGATCTTTCTTTTTTCTTTTTAAAAAACCTTTAGTTTTAGATGCTAAAGGATTGGCTAGCAGCGTGGTATTTTGGGTAAGGTCCAAACCTATACTGACCTTGTAATGTGGCTGACCCTTCGGGGTCAGAAGAACATTTGGTATAGGTGAGCAGAGTTTTTTAAATAACTTCTCACTGTAGTGGACCTAGGTGCTGATTGGGAGCCAGAGAACTGGAATGCAATAAAGGGGGATGTGTGATTTCTTTTTTTTTTTTTTTTGGCTTCTTGATAACCAGTGTGGGGAGTTTAACTTCAGTGTTACCCACCATTCCTGGGAGTATCTGCTCTCCCTTTTGCAGCCTGCCGTGACATTTCTATGATGTGTTATACTATGAAAAAGTTTTCATTTATGGTTAACAATTTTGCTGCTTTTTAAAAACATCATACATTAAGCCAGGCTGAAGGTAACTTATCTAAGGATTTTACTTCGTTTCTCTAGATCTGAAAGGCTAATGGATATGTGAAGAGGTCAAATTCCAAACCTAGGTAATATAAATCCAATACAACAGAGTTTAGATCAGGATAAATACCTACCGTTAGCACAGAGAGAACATTAAGAGTTTCCATTTGAAGCTAAGCTTTTGCAAATGGGACTTTAAAAGACAAAATTGGTTAATAAGCATTTTCCCCAAAGGAATGATATTCACTTATCCACAAGTCAGACTCTATAATGGAATGACTATTTCTACTCTCATAACCCACTCAGGATCAATCACATTTTAATGGAAATAAAATAAAGCAACTGACAGAACCATGCCCTCAATAAAGAACGAACATCCAGGACACCAAAGTTATTACAGGATATTAATAAAAGGAATCCCTACATCCTTGATGGACCACTTGGGGAAGCTATTCTGCATGTAATACATTTTCTCTTGGAACTACTTCTCTACTTTCTAAGCTAGAACTGATAAAAGGAGATCTCATGCTTTAAACACTCCTTAAGTGTGCATGCATGCATGAGAAAAATTAAGCTTTACACTATCCTGGAGGCTATAAATGCATCTTTGCACTAGAATGCTGCATAAGGAATACTTCACCCATCACCTGGAACAGTGAGGTCCAGCCAACAATTGAAGAAAAATTTAAACCAAATACCTTATCGTGGTATTCGGTTACTGCATGTCTTTTTACATATCAAACTTTTACCCTCCTCCTGGGGGAAGTTCTGGCTACAGACACTGCACTTAAATTCCAAGGACTCGGCAGCTCTTTTTTTAATTTACAGGACTTTGTAAAGCTCTGAACATTTCTCTGACCTTTTCACTAACACCAGTTGAATCATTTGATGCAAATAAAAGCCACTGAGAATTTATGCTTTTAAAAAATGAACTCATCATTCATGAATAAATCAATTCATTAATCATCCAGATCTACCTTTTACACTTCTTCCTTCATTATGGAGACCCCAAGACACACACACAGATTTATAGAACTGTTAGCATTTTAGATGTGTACAGCCAAGCTAGAAAATCCCTGTGCTGATGCTGCTGTCATTGACCAGAAAAGGCACACCTCCAAATCCAGACATATTCCCATTCCCAATACATCAAAATTCTGTCTCTCCCCTCGAAATGGATTCCATGTGTCCAAATCTAAACAATTATGCAACCTCCTCTCCACCCTTTTCAGGGCTACTTCCCCATCTCCTCCCAGGTGTGCAGAAAACCTTTGGGCCACCCGCTTATTGCATCCTCATCCCTCCTGTAGTTCACAGAATTCATGATCTGCTCCTCATTCCCCTCCGATGAGGAATACAGCAGCTCCCCCCTCACTTTGTTTCTTCTGCTTTGTCCCGTAGCTCCCTCCTCCTCCCAACAGAAGGAAATAATGGCTACCCAACTCTACCCACACTTGCGCAAGCAATATTTCCATTTGCTCTAGGTGAAGAATGAGTGGGTTTTTCAAGCCTCGATATATAGACAGACTGGAAAAATTCTTACTGCCCAGAAGCTCAGGACAAGCAGAAGTACTATGTAGACAAGTGTACGTTTTTTTGCCTTCCAGATAAGGAAAACAGGAGGCGCAGAGGCCATAGCAGCTGACTGAAGGATATCTGCACAACATCTGGGCAAGGCAGTTGAGGGGTTGAAAGGGAGTGAAGCAAAGAGCACTGGTAGGGAGCAGAAGGAGGAGGGGCAGTAGAGCTGAACTGCCAATCAAAGGGATGGATATGGTTGATGTCAGCCATACAAGTAACTCTTTAGGAGAAAGGGGGTTCGGTGCCAAGTGCACTGCTCAGCATATCTGAAGTTGAAACTCTGAATGTGACCTCTGCTAGTGCAATGACTGGGGAAGCGAGAGACTGGGCTGGGGTTTTTCAGCTACAGATGGGTTATTCAAAGGGAACTGTTTTGCTATATACACAAATGATGCATTAATTAGTCAACCAAGCCAGAGTAGCCTTTGTTGTAAAATAAACCATCATTTGATTACTTGCTGCTGAAAAACACAACTAGATGTGATTTTAGCACAGAGCTGCTCTCTTTAATGCTTTATTTCAGCTTTGCAAGATTAGCTATTGCTGCCAGAGTCTGTCAGCTTAATTTGCAAACCAATCCTCTATTTGCACACAAGTGTGTTTCAAATAGCTGGTGTAAAAATTATTTACAATGAACTTGGTTAATTTAAAAATATATACCTGAAAAGGGTCTGGAACATATAGAACCACCCTGTTAGGATTCTTGGGTTAGAAAAACAAACATAAAACCAAAACACATATCAACCTGAATCAACAGAGAGCAGTGCTAAAGAGTCCTGGGCCAAGTAAGCAAAAAGCATATAGCACAGGAGAGTATGTTAAAGGAACATGTGAAATCCACAAGTAAATACTATCCAGAATTCAAAGAAAGCTGGATATCCATGGAAACAAAAATGTAGATTATTTTATCCTCCAATAAAACAATCCATCAAGTTATAGTACACAGCCAGCTGCCTGAATAGGGATTAGGGGCCATCAAAATAAAGCTTTGTATGTTGTTGTTCTCAGTTCAAATGGCATTCTTGGGGGTTACCAAATACACGTGCTGAATTAAGATTTCATAACTTTTGGCCAACTCTGCTCTAAGAGCTGCACAAACTTTAAGTCTGAAGCCAATAGTGCTCTCTACTGTCTTCACCAAAAAAAAAGTGCTTCTACTACATTGAATAGAAGCTGTTACCTATCAGGTCTGTGTTCTTGGAGAATCAGGGCGCAGTACCCAGCCTCTCTGACTCACAAAAGACCTTCCTCCGCTCCCCGAGCCTCTGCTTGAACCAAAGCCGATCAGAAGAAAGACTTACAAAAAGCAATGCAAAGGCAGTGGAAGACACACCTAAACCCCTCCAGAGAAGGGTGAAAGGATTAAGGAAACTCCCCTAGCCTCATCTGCATCAAGGATGGGACAGAGAGGCATCCCCATTAGCATACAAAATAGAGAACAAAGATTCTAAGACAAGAACCGCACTGAACTCTGGGGGATCTCTGATCCAGATGTTAATGAACCCACGCCTTCACACACCCAGCTCAGTAGTTATCAGACCAATTCTAGTAATAAATTCTTTATTTGTATCCAATATACTGAAGCTGCCTAATTGCATTGTGAGCTCCCTCGAAGGAACACCACTCATAGCCGGGAATGAGCAGTTCCTAATGTTTAGCTTGAACAAAACAACTTTGGTATACTCCCTTGAGCCATCAGTTTACCCAAAAATAAATCTAGTGTTCTCCCTTGAACCATTGTTCTTTCCCTACAAAAACCCTTACCCACGCTCAAGTAAGTGCTCTGATGCCTGGATACAAAATTTGCATCAGTTCCATTGGGACTTCATCTTCTCCTGAATGATCGTGCTGGGGGCTCTGCCTGTCTCCACCACCCCAGACCCTCAGCTACCACCACCACCCTGGGAACCCCAATTGATTCAAGCTTCCCGGAGTGGTGAGAACCCATCTCTCTCTCTCTCTCTCTCGGTATAGCCTTCTGACCCTGACTTTTGTGATCAGTTATAGTTTTCTAAACCTGACTTATAATCAAATTTAAGTTAGATTTAATATGATCACTGTTTTGTTTGTTTGGCTCCCCTTGTATGATTATTACCTGGCAATAAATAACTTTCATGGTTAAGCTAGTTGCTTCTCTCTCCCTCCCCTTCCCCCCCATGGGTGTTTTTTGGCTTCCCCATTCGCTCTGCAGCAGTGCTCCTCGTACCTAAGCTAAAGATCCCTGCAGCACCCAAAAATCCTGTGGGGTTTCCTCATCAAGTGGGTTACTATCAGAACAATTGTAAAGTGAAAGTGGGGATAGGTACATGCTGAACCTGGGGCATATGAGGGTGACAGCTTGGAAGTGCTGCTCGACCCAGCCTACTGAGTCCAGGGACATATACGAGGTCAGCTTGGGAGTGCTAATTAACCCGGTCCTCTCAGACGCGCTCTCTTAATGTGTGTGTGTGTCTGTCTGTCTGTCTGATTCTGGAGCTGGAAGAACCCAGCCCTGGGGAACCTAGGTCCTGGAGGATAGCTCCACTGGGAGGGAACTTGCAGAAGGGAGAAGTAGAGCTCCGTATGAGAACACAAGTGACACAAGCAGTACATTGATAGAATTACAGAACACCAGCCACCAGAAGAGTAACTCTAATAAATGTACCCCAAAGTAACGGGAAAATTTGGTAACAAAGCATCAACATTAGCCATTTATTGGAAAAATAATATGAAGCAGTAATAATTGCTTACCTCATTTTTTAAAAAACAACTGTTCATAGGGTACAGATTTTGTTCTCTCTCTCTCTCACACACACACACACTCTATTTTTATATATGTGTGTGTGTGTGTGTGTGTGTGTGTGTGTGTGATTTTTAAAATTTAAAAAAAGTTTCCTTACCTCCTGCATCCAACATAAAAAGGAATGCATATTTTTCATCATGTAATTTGAGAGGGACTTGGAGGGGGGGGTGAGAAGGATGGGGGAGAAAACAGGATTTTCTGATTTTATTTGTTGTCTGGGGAAATTGTTATCTGAGTTTAATTATTTAATGCTGCCAGCTGGCAGCATTTATTTGTATATTATTATTTAATGCTGCTGGGTTGTTATTATTATAAGTTTCATTATTATTAGGACACTCAGAGCTTCTGCCTGGGCATGCTTTACTGTTAAGCCCAAGGAAATAAATAAAGTAAATAAATATTATTGTAAATTATTTACAAACACTTACACAATTTCTCACAACTTTGTATTGATTGCCATAACAATAATATATCTCAATCTAGAGAAGTAGACCAAACAATTATACTTGGTCTGAATCACAGTATGCTTATTAAGTTGCATTGTATCTGAACAATAAAGCTTTGTTAAAAATCACATCTAGTCAAAGCAAACTTAAGTAATTGCAGAAGAGCAGTAAATTAAAAATAAAACCACATTGAAATCAAGTCTTGGTTATTACATTTGTTTAATACATTATAAAATTAATTCTGTTTTTGGAAATGCTTTGTTTGTTACCAAGATGCTTTATCCTAATTTCAGCCTTGAAACGTAGAGAACAGTTTTATTCTTAATCCAGAAGCCTGCATTTTTTTTTAAAGAAACAACAGACATTACAATATCTAGACTGTCAATTTGCCAGCAGTAGCCATCAAAAGAATTCCACAAAAAAAATTCAAGAAAGAAAAAATTAGTTTATCCTAAAAGCCAATTCTATTTTCTACCTTGAACAGAAAGAAGTTGAATACAAATGGGAGGAAATGAACCCAGGAACTATTTTTAAAGGAACATCTAAATTCCATTAACTCTACCTTTTCTGCAGAACAGATTGCGAAATGTACCACACATGTAAGTTTGTTCTCCGCTGTGCATATCAATATGTAGTTGGTAGCCATGCAGTCCATATTCTGGGTCAACATCATCCAGTATAGGTTTATGAGGGGGCAGGATATATTGTCTTAAATAAAATCAAGATAAATCAGGTGGGGAAAAAACAATTTAGCATGGCAAGAAATGCTGAGTCGTTTCAGCAGAGGAGGTATTTTAAAAAGATTCGGAAAAGGGCAAATGCAATTAGCAGTCAAGGTGTTCTACTTTCCTACTTAAATTTCTGAAGCTCTAAGTTTCACAATAGTTTACCATATTCATTATAAGGTTTATTAATGTGCAGTAAAGACTAGTCAAAGGCAGCTAACTAAATTTACCACTAAATACACCTAAAGTGTGTACATGTAAAACTTCAATAGATGCAGGTGTATGCATTACTCTGAATCTAACACCCATCTGGCCACCTGCTTTTTTCTAACACAGTGGTTCTCAACATATTACACATTGTGGGCGCATATGTGTGGGCTGCCGCCCCCGGACCTCGAGGCCAGCCGGCTGCCCCAACACCGGGACCCCCGCCACTCAGGGCAGGTCAGCTGCCCCATCCCCCAACCCCCAGCCGCGCGGCTGCCCCAACTGGCCACCCTGGTCCCCTGCCACGTGGCTGCCCCAGCCCCCAGAGCTCACAGGACCAGGCAGCTGCCCCAGACCCCGGACCCTGTGGGGTGGGTCGGCTGCCCTGGACCCAGGAACTGGCGGGGCCAGCCGGCTGCCCCGGACCCCAGAGGCCACCACGACCCCCTGGGGCCACCAGGGAGCCCCAGAGCCCGATCCCCTCGCAATAGGGGGAGGGGGAGCCCGGACCCTTCTCCCCAGGCAGCTGGGAACCTGGAACCCGGGGCACATCCGTGGTCTTTAGCACACAGCTGACCTGGGCCACAGCTGTGTTCTAATTGGGCCACATGTGGCCCGCGTGCCACGGGTTGAGAACCACTGCTCTAACAGCAGGCAGGGAAATAGTCTCCCTGTGCCTGAACCCTAGTGGAAGGAGCAGAGTATTGAATCACTGATGTGGGGTAACATTTTCAGAAGCACCTAAGTGACATAAGTCCCAATGAAGGTCAATGAGACAGACTCTTAAGTCACTTACGCTTAACAAACTAAGTCACTTAAACATATTGGAAATTTTTACCCATATAAATGACTGTCCCCGTGGAGTGAAAGTTATTAGATATTCTGTGTGTGAAGAGAATCCCAATGAAGGGGGTTGGGAGAGGGGGAGAGAAAGAGAGCATATTTAGGCCAGAAAAAATGCTCCTTCAGCCTAGAAGGAAAGGGTATGAAGAAGAAGAAAAAAGAGCTGCTCATGGAGGCTCGTTGACATAGTAATCATTGCAACCATTATTTTGGCATGTGTGAGAAAAAGCTCACGCATTAATATATTGCATTAATATACAATGTTATATATACCTATTTAAAGGACATTGTCTACTAGAAATCTAATAACTTTTCCAATAAGATTTAAAAGTAGATTCAGGTTCTAAATTAAATCACCCTGTCACTTTTTTTGGATTTACAATGATATTTTCCTATTTTTTAAAAATGTCCCTCTTCCCTGTGGGTCTGTCACACATCAGGAGAAAGTGACTAAAATAAACTGAAAGAAAAAAAAAATTTCTAATCTCTTTCAGCTACAGTGAAAGGTTTCAGATACACGTGTAATTAAGTTTAGTGTCTCTTAATGTATTACTTCACCGCAGTACATTTTAGCATGGAAAACACAGGCCTCTTCCACATCATTTGGTAAACCAGTTGTTGCAACTCTAGTGCACAACAGAGTTCTTATTCTTGGTTAGAGGGAATTAAGATTGTTACTGAACTTTCTTTATCACCAATCAATTTTAATTTTCAAACTCAATGATTTATTTAAAAGATCATCCCTACCATCCACAGGCAAAGAGAAACCAGTACTTACATAGTGGCAGAGCCCAAAGTGCTTCTCTCAATAAGTTGATGATGATGAAGACTCGCCGTAACAAAAGCAATTCCATTTCCTTTCTGAAAAGTTAATTACAGTGAATACATTTCTCACCTGGAAGTATTGTGCATTAAAGCCCACAGATAAATGCTTCTTCTTTTGCTGCTGCAAGATTACCACAAAGTATTAGTACAATTTTAAGAGTAGTTATATGTGGGCCACTATTCACATAGAATGCTACATTGTCCCAGCACAAGAATACATAAAGCACCACTGGATAGCTACCCAGATAGGAAGATTCTCTGCAGTATCAGCAACAATTCATTAATCTTATTTTTCGAAGAAGTGGGTTGTAGCCCACGAAAGCTTATGCTCTAATAAATTTGTTAGTCTCTAAGGTGCCACAAGTACTCCTGTTCTTTTTGCGGATACAGACTAACACGGCTGCTACTCTGATACCTTATAATTAGCACTCTTAAAAAGGTGAGCAAAAACAGGGAAAAAAACCAACCCAAACCTTTTTCTGAGCTACTAAATACCCAAACAAACTTAATCAGGCAAATTTAGATACTTAATAAACAGCTAGGGCCATGGTGAGTGGGACTAGCTGAGGCATAAGGTGCTACTCAGTATCAGTCTAATAGTGGTAGAACCACAGGATTCCACCCAGAGAAGGATGAAATTAGTGATGCCGGTCACCTGCGGAGAGCACTCATAAAGGACCATAAAGGGGTCTAAGGCACCTCGTGCCCTGTAACTGTGACAGTCCAGTGAGAATAAGTGGTGGTGTAGCCTGGTGATCCAGTCTAAAGTGGGGGGAACCACAGAGTAGCACTCTGGGAGAAGTGCAGATCAGGGCCTGTCTCGTGGGAAGAGTGCCAACCGAAAGTCTGGGGGAGAGATCACAGGTGCAGCTTGCCCTTGAACTGTGACACTATGTAAATTAAAAAAATCCCTGGCACATCAAAAACTGGAAGAGAAAAATAAACTGTACAATGCACATCTGAATGTCACATTGAAATAATTAGAAATCTATATTTTTAAAGCATAAATAGTACAGGGAGCCTTGACTATGGATTCCTATTAGACTATGGAAGTCATTTGCACACATCTTCTTTATCTGCATATATATGTCTGAACTTTACAAAAGAAAAAAAAAAACGAAAGATGGAGGAAGCTGTGCCTTGCAGTCTACCGTAATGAACAACATACTGTAGCTGAATGTAATCTTACCTTCCAGAGACCCACCAGGAGTCCGGGGTTCAAACGGAAAAGTTGCACAAGGCTGTCAGAGCCAATCATTGTTGTCACTTTAGTGAGGTTAGTAAGGTTGAACTCAGCAATTAAGGAACGTCGCCGAGGTCTTTGACGAGTCATAGCAGAGTAAAGAAAGACACGAGTGCACCATTATTAATATGAAAGTTCAGCCACTTTTCATTTTCTCCCTGGGCACTAAAACAAATTGTTCTGAAACTGTGCAGTATGAGAAGCAGTAAAAAGTCTAACTAGCAGCTTACCAGCAGGATTGCAAAGCCTAGTGGGAAGAGAATCCCCAATAAGGGTGTCTACCAAAATCTATCACAGGCTGATATAACATATCCACTGTACAGTTCAACAAGAGGAACTGATATGCTCACTAAATTTCTTAAATCCCAGAGGGTTCTTTTATTAACAAATGTATTATTATAAAGAACATGCTTCCATAGCAAAGGGAATCATGAAATATTCATCAACATGAAGCAGGCAACTTAGGAAGGTAAAGCTTTCTTGGAACAAGTGAAATTTGAACAGAAAGATCATTTACTAGTGAATACAGTTGTATTTTTCGGGTTTTTTGTACCCTACCAATCTGGGATCAAAAATTGGTGTAGAATCACAATGGTAATATATATTTAATACCATTGACTGCTGCCTTGTTGGCTGTTTGCAGGAATGTATGTAGTGGCTCTTTAGTGTGTTCAATCCTTTCCATCAGAGAAGTCTGGCAATTGCTCATTCTCCACAAAGACCCTGATAAAGATCCATAATGTCACTCTTCCCATTATTGTTTGTTTTAAAAAAAAAGCAGGATGCCATCAGCAGGAGATTGCAGCTGCAAACACGTCCCAATCACAGCAATATGCTTGTAATACTCAGTTCTTCACTCCTAGAACTTCAAAAGTGTAATTTTTAGGATATAAGACTACACGTCCTTTTACTGAAATTCAGATTCTGCAGGCTCAGTAACTCTCCCAGTGTGTGACCAAGAACAAGGATCTGATGAAAATGAACAAGCAGCAATTCATCCAAATAAGGAAGAAGGGATGCTTGTGGGCAAGAGAGACATTTAGGAGGAACAGGCAGTAGGAGCAAAGAGTCTGTATTATCGATTGAGGAGAACTAACTTCTGCTAAAATAGTTCACTGCTTCAGGATCCTAATTAGATCCAAAACTGTTCCTGGATTTCCTGATAGTAGCAGTATTACCTTTCTTCATCTAGCAATACAATAGTAGGTGAAGAAAGGTGAACCTTACAACAGTTACTCACACCTCTGCAACCTCCAGCTTCCCTACTGCAATGGTCCACCTACGGCTTCCTATGATGTCCACTCTGAAACTCCAGGAAGCTAGGGAAGAAAAAAAGACTTCCCATCTCAGGCTGCTGTGAACATAAAAGACCTCCTTTTAATCTCTGTACTGGTTCTCAGTTTGCTTCTGGGACTCGTTCAAGGTGTATGGATCATCATCAAAAGGTCTAGGACCTAGTTATTTGAGAGTCTCTCTCTCTCTCATATGTTAGCACATCACAAAAGTTAACCAGAGATGGGGAAACATCAAAATGGCCAACCAATTCCAAGACCTGAGGGCTTGCACCTCTGGAATTTGCTATCTTTGCAGCCTACAAGAGCCAACACATAGAAACCTCCAGTGCAAGAAACCCTTAGGGCATGGTTTAAAAAAACAAAAACAAAAACACCCACACACAGCAAAGTAGTGAAGAACTTTTTAGTATTCATTATCATATAATTTTGACAGGTTTCCATGCCCCTACTTGCTTTATGTCCCACCCTCTGGCCTCATTTTTGGAAGTGTATACTTTTTGATACGGCAGGCATTTTGAAAAAAATAATGTTTTAGTTTTTCTTTTATGGGGTGCATTAGGACTGCTTCTGTGTGTTTTTTCACACATTAACGTTAGAAGATTTTCAGAAGAAACAGATTTTTACACATTTTAAATAAAGTTTAGTAAATAGAGATTAGGCCCTTTTCCAATAATTTACAAAAGAAAGTGGATTATTGCAAAGGGAGAAAAAGGAAAAAAGAGAAAGTTTTAAAACTGCAGGAAAGGAAAATACAGAACGTTTTAAAATGGCAAGAAAGGAAAAAAAGAAAGAGAAAGGTTCAAAACAGCAGAAAGGGGTAAATAATACTTCCTTATTGACTTTCTCCACAACATTCATGATTTTATAGACCCCTATAATATCCCCTCTTAGCTGTCTCTTTTCTAAGCTGAACATTGGAGTCTTTTTAGTCTCTCCTCACATAGTAGCTGTTCCATACCGCTAATCCTTTTTGTTGCCTTTCTCTGTACTTTTTTCCAATTCTAATATATCTTTCTTGACATGGGGCGACCAAAACTGCAATGCAGTATTCAGAATGTGGGTGTACCATGGATTTATAAAGTGGCATAATGGTATTTTCTGCCTTATTTTCTCTCCCTTTCCTAATGATTCCTAATATTCTGTTAGCTTTTTTGACTGCAGCTGCACATTGAGCAGATGTTTTCAGAAAACTATCCACAACTCCATGATCTCTTTCTTGAATGCTAACAGCTAATTTAGACCCCATCATTTTGTATGTATAGTTGAGATTATGTTTTCTAATGAACATTACTTTGCATTTATCAACATTGAATTTCATCTGCCATTTTGTTGCCCAGTTTTGTGAGATCCTTTTGTAACTCTTCGCAGTCTACTTTGGACTTAACTATCTTGAGTAATTTTAAATTGTCTGCAAAGTTTGCCACCTCACTGTTTTCCCCTTTTTCCAGATCATTTATAAATATGTTGAACAGCACAGGTCCCAGCACAGATCTTTGGGATATCCCACTATTTACCTTTCTCCACTATGAAAACTGACCATTTATTCGTACCTTTTGTTTCCTATCTTTTAACCGGTTGCTGATCCAAGAGGTGACCGTCCCTATTATCCTTTGACTGCTTACTTTGCTTAAGAGCCTTTGGTAAGGGAACTTGTCAAAGGCTTTCTGAAAATTCAAGTACATTATATCCACGGGATCACCCTTGTCCATATGCTTGTTGACCCCCTAAAAGAATTCTAATAGATTCGTGAGGCATGATTTCCCTTTACAAAGATCACATTGATTCTTTCCCAGCATATCATATTAGCCAGGATGGGTAAGGAATGGTGTCCCTAGCCTCTGTTTGTAAGAGGGTGGAGATGGGTGGCAGGAGAGAGATCACTTGATCATTACCTGTTAGGTTCACTCCCTCTGGGGCACCTGGCATTGGCCACTATTGGTAGACAGGATACTGGGCTAGATGAACCTTTGGTCTGACCCAGTATGGCCGTTCTTATGTTTACTCTTTTATGTTTTTGGCTTCCCCCATTTACATAAGAACATAAGAACATAGCAATGATCAAGTGATCTCTCTCCTGCCATCCATCTCCATCCTCTGACAAACAGAGGCTAGGGACACCATTCTTTACCCATCCTGGCTAATAGCCATTAATGGACTTAACCACCATGAATTTATCCAGTTCTCTTTTAAACGCTGTTATAGTCCTAGCCTTCACAACCTCCTCAGGTAAGGAGTTCCACAAGTTGTCTGTGCGCTGCGTGAAGAAGAACTTCCTTGTATTTGTTTTAAACCTGCTGCCTATTAATTTCATTTGGTGACCCCTAGTTCTTGTATTATGGGAATAAGTAAATAACTTTTCCTTATCCACTTTCTCCACCTCTTGATGGCTACGGCTAATAAACTAAAAGTGTAAGTTCCTAGGACTACAAACATACCGCCTTCCCTAATAAACCAGATTGTGTAGGGCCGGCTCAAAAAAAGTCTTCTTTCCAGACATAAGAACATTTAATTTGTAAACTATTTCAGTTAACAGATCAAAAAGAGTTAGATCACCAATTTTAAAAAGTACATGAGGTTGTAGGGAGTAAGAAAGTTAATGGGCATATTACCAATAACATCAAAGAATTTAAATATACATGTATATAATTTTCTCTTCTCCACATACATCACGCACTCTTCCTGGACAATAACACTAGACCAACACGTTTGTGTACCGGGTTTTATGCACTACCATACTGTTGTGTGCAGTTTCACAACGTCACACATTTAAATTACTGACTAACACTCTCAAGCCCTTCCACTTACACCAAAGAAATCCTTTCATGGTTTTTTTTAAAGATTTTATTAAAACCTCCCTTTTATTCATATTAGGTTTTCTAAGCATAGACATTTGTTTTAAACAAAAAACATTCAGATTAAAATATATCTTAACAACATTTCCTTACTTGTGTCTTAGATTTATGTATATGATTAAATAGAGACAAAGAATTGTTCTCACTGGATTTTAATTACAAGTTTTCCGTGGGTCTGGATTTACCATTCTGTCTTATTTATATCTATGCTTAGACTGTCAGTTTTCCAAGGCAGGAAGTGTCTTTATTTTTCTGTATTGCACATGGCCAATCACTATATTATACTGGCTCAGTTCATAAAATAATGTGATAATAAATAAATAATATATGATTTTGTTAAATTCTCTATTCTCCCTGGAGCCAGTGAAGGACAAGAAATAGATTTCCTAGGATAGGCTGTAGAAGGACTAAAAATAATTCACTGGTTGGGTCAGTTTTAGGTCAGGCAATTTCCACACAGACAAATCCAACAATATTTAATTGTATAAAAATACTTTAATTTAAACTCACCCATTCTTGGTGGGAACTTTACATTGGTCAAGAAGCAATGGTGTCACTCCACATAATTCCAGTGTTGACAAGGTGTCTAAACATGGCCAGTTTGTACCATACCAAAATACAGTAATAGATGTGTCATTATAAGAGATGTCCACCTGCTCCATTACATGTTCCTTTCCATTTCTGTCCTTCAGTACAATCACCCAACTCAAACTATATGTTCTGTTATTGAGGAAGTAAAAACAATTAAAAAGTTTTTAAAACAACCTGTCAGAAGTGACAAGAACAATGTATGGAACTTTAGAAATTCAGTCAGCAATGTCCCTTTTATTTTCATTAAGTTTTACCTTGTGACTAAATCACATTAATCAGATCGTGAGAGCATCTCCCCATCATGATCAGAATTCACAACTCTATTTCGCCATACACAGATACCATATAAAACCACTAGGCCAACATTCTGAATGTAGCTTGGGAGTAAACACACTTTATGACAAGACAATACTTACTTGATAGCTTCTTTGGTTTTAAGTGGAAGGCCAGTGTAATGGTTTATAGGTTTCAGAAGCTGAATTATTCTAGTTTTGCCAGTTGCTATTTGTTTCATGATATATTCGTTCTTCCAATATCCCGATTCTCTGTCCTGAATCATAGCATGGCTTAGTAAGACAGCTGTTCTTTCAACAGATTTAGTTTTCCAATTTGTTCTTTTAGGTGGAAAAAAAATGGAGTAAATTTTGAACCAGATCACACTGGAAAAAACATTCAAGAGAAAAACAAAGTAAATCCCATAAAGAGTTATTACCAGTGAGGGCACAGACCAATAAAGAACAGACCCACCAGCATGAGAATTAAAATATACAGTTGCATGTGCATCTCAGGCATTATTGAGAATCTTATTAAGAAAAAATATATTATCCAACTTTAAGAACAAGTTGGGTTTGTTTGATTTAGGTGGAGAAAGGGAATACAAATCATTTCTAGAAAGTCCCAACATCTAGGTTTTGCCTCAATGGCTGATGTCCTTCTGTATTCATAATTTCCCCTTCTTTCAGTTTGTTGTTAAACCCCATATTCTGTATTAGTGTGGATATGCTAGAATTTAGATTGCTGGGGGAAAGACAAGTCACATAATGAGAACCAAAGAGCATTTATACACATCTTGATATTTTTGTTGGATATAAAAAGTTTTACCTGACATCATAATACATAAGATACATCCTACTTGTTACTCATTACCTTCTCAATCAATTCTCACTGAGATCGGTGGGAATGTCTGAGCAAAGATTGAGTAAGGACATCATAATCATAACCAACAGGGAGATGCAAAAATGCCATTTGTGCTGCACTCCCCCACCTGTCCTCAGCCAACATCATGCCAGGGCAGTCACCTGGTACAAATTAGAAGGATGCTTTAAATTGTGCTGGCTGTTAATGTCCCCAAGGGCTAATCCAGCAGATAGGCCATACTAGGGATGTACTGAACATGCCCTTTTTGTCCCAAGCCACATCCCTTGCATCATGACTAGAAGAGTGTGGCATCAAAGCTGCTACAGTGGTTCCTCGCCACCCAAGAGTCGCCACTTTTCCACATCAAGAGTGTTTTATAAGTGTTATCTAGTTAATCCCCACTATACCCCAAGGAGGTAGATAAGTATCACTTATGTATGGGGAAAAGGGGAGGGATAGCTCAGTGGTTTGAGCATTGGCTTGCTAAACCCAGGGTTATGAGTTCAATCCTTGAAGGGGCCACTTAGGGATCTGGGGCAAAATCAGTACTTGGTCCTGCTAGTGAAGGCAAGGGGCTGGACTCGATGACCTTTCAGGGTCCCTTCCAGTTCTAGGAGATAGGATAGGATTGCCCAATGCCTAAAAAAGTCAGTTTCAGGGCCAGAATAAGAACTCAGGACTTCCCAATCCCTAGTCTTGTGCTGAAGCACTAGACAACATCTCTCTCTCTCTTTCTCATGCATTTTTGTATTCATTTAAAAAGCACCCTTCCTTCCTCATGTTCTAATTCTTTTCCTCTGGGGCTGTCCTTTCCTCATTAAAACATGTTAAAACAGGGGTCGGCAACCTTTCATAAATGGTGTGCCGAATCTTCATTTATTCACTCTAATTTAAGGTTTCGCGTGCCAGTAATATATTTTAATGTTTTTAGAAGATCTCTTTCTATAAGTCTATAATATATAACTAAACTATTGTATGTAAAGTAAATAAGGTTTTTAAAATGTTTAAGAAACTTCATTTAAAATTAAATTAAAATGCAGAGCCCCCCGGACCAGTGGCCAGGACCCAGGCAGTGTGAGTGTCACTGAAAATTAGCTCGCGTGCCGCCTTCGGCACGCGTGCCATAGGTTGCCTACCCCTGTGATAAAATCATACAAATTAGAGATGATGGGAAGGGAAAGGGGGACAGTATGCAGTAAATATGTTACCATTTATCCTTTGAATACAATTTTACAAATGATGAACAGGATGTGCTACCACATATCAACCACACAATCCATAGTAATTATACCAAAGACACATTATGGTGTTTTATTTCTCACTTAGAAATTAGCCTCACCACAGGATTTTCACATCCACTGGCCAGCCAGGTCTTCCTTACCAATCCCTGCTTTTTCCCAGATTAAAACTATGTTATCCTGCTCTAGTATGTTTCTCTGGGTCTTTTTCCATAAAATATTCAGGGTTTAGATGGCTCCCAGGCTGACCTCCGTCCAAGAAAACAGTCAGTCTCTCTCATAGAGTCTGTTTCCCATGCCCTCAGTGGCTGATGTAAGTCACTACACATCACTAACACCAAGCTCTCTCTTCTTATGAGTACATCATTCCTTTTGTAGGGGCTTCTCTGGGAAATCAACATTAGTCTGATGGTCTAATTCATGTAAGATTTATGTGACGCTTCCTCTCTTCAACTCTTTGAGCTGAGGCTGTGTAAGGCACACAGCCTGGGAGGCACAACTGGGAAGCTGCAGAGAGGCCCCCTGAAAGAGGTTGCAAAGATCATACCACCAACAGCCCAAGCTTTCAAGTCTCCTCCTCTCCCCTCCCCCTCCTAGATTCTGATTTGAAAAAGGAATTCAGGATGGAGAAGTTAGATTTCAGAGAAAATCCCAGAAGCAGGACAGAGAGCTGAAAATGTTTAGCACTGGAGGCTGAGATGGGAAAGGAGACCTGGTTCTCAGAAAGGTCCAAAACATCCCTGAGGCGTCAAGTACAGCATTTACCAACTAGGAGGGAGGCATGCACCAGACTAAGCTATTACAATCTCTCCCACTGGCAGTAGTTACAGTCATTCATGGTGTGAGCAGAAGAAAGTAGCTGGGAAAAGACAAAGGAGTTATTACAGGCCACAAGCTCCCTAAACCAAGGGTGCCCCCTTGCATTTATGTGGCCTGTGTGATATAATCACATTTTAAAATGAAATGAAATCTGAGGTTATTTACAAAGTATATTTCTCGCCCTCATGGTTGCAAAGTAAATCTACCATATGTAAACCAAATGCAATCAATGCAGTGAATGTCAGCAGATGCAAGCAGACATTTCAGACCGGAACTCAGAGGTGTGGATTTCCCTGACTCCTTAATCTCACTGGAGTGTCCGCTCCAAAGCCCAGTGATGACACTTCAATGACAACAGTAACAATTTCAGTGCATATCATTTTAGCAGATGGGGTGGGAAATGGAATGGGAGAAATTGGAGAAATAGTGGTGGGTCTAAAGGCAAGCAGATTCTCTCCCTAGTGATGCTAAATACAACAACACGGTACTGAAAAAATGATACCTAAACATTTTAATTACTACACAGAGATTGACCTCTCCACTTGATCCATCTGCAAAGCTCTCAATGACATCAGTGGGAGATCACTATGAATTGAGTCTTAAATTTATACTCTGACCCATGGACCATAATTAAACATGGAATTTAGCCCTTTGAACTGATACCCCTAAGATAAACCCTTTTCTATTTGTTTTTTCCTCCTGTTTTTATCAAAAATAAAGTCATTGCATTGTGACAAATGAAAGCAGCTGAAACCACCACCAGAACTGCCTGCCTACGTAAACCCCCTGCAATAAAGCAGGAGAAAAACTGGAATGAAAAAGGAGGAACCTGAAAGGAAGGTGTGAAAATCCCTGCCTGTGAGGAGGGAGCTCCGCAGCCTGTGCTGGTTTATCTAAATCAGAAAGAAAAGTACAAATGGATCTTATAAAGCAATAAATGCAAATGGGTACGTTTTCAAAGCAGTGTGCTTGGTTTTAGCCATGTAAGTCCCATTAACTTTAATGGAACTCACACAGCTAAAACTGCATGCAATATATTGAAAATTTACCACACAGATTACAATACAACAGAAAAATAGCTGCTGGGTACTTACATCAATTCCCTGGCATCAGTGAAACTAAATTAAAAAGTCTCATATAACTCAGGTTAACTTGACTGCTGTGAGATTGAGATTACTATGTTTCCCCCCTTCCTTACTTGTCATTGGCCAGATGATAGAAGCGTTTATTCGCACAACCGATACACAACAGGGATACAGCATCCAAATAAGAAAATATCTTCAGTAGTATCTCTGATGGCATACTGAAAACAAAAAGGAAGGGAAAATATTACTGGATTTATGTGCAAAATAGAGTTGACAAGTGGCTAAAACCTTTAACCCCTCAGCAGAGGAAAGTGAACAGAAGAGAGAGAAGCCACCACTTCATAAATCCACATGTCAAACCTGTCTTTGTAAAACGTTGTGTTCTCACCTAGAGCATTAACCTGCAGCCTTATCAGTTTTGATTTGTTGCTCTGATCTAAAGCCTTTGCTTACTGCACTTCACAACAGCCTATTGAAGTGGCACAAGATGTTAACTGCAAGCTTAGTTCCTCATGCATTCATGTTACTTTTTTTGAGCTTTAAGCCAATTTAGTTATGAAAAGTAACAGAGAATTCATTCAAATTATGTGAAATTATTCTGTTCACCCCTCCCACCCCCCGAGGTTCACACTCTTTTTCATATCATGGCTCCACATTCAGTCACTCACCACTAATACTTCTCAAATGTATCCCAGAATCTTGTGTGTTCATTATCACCTTTCAAGTGTCAGGTCCCAAGATACTTTACCAACAGTGCCTACTCCAAGCCAAACTTTGGTGGGATGCTGTATCTCTCCTCAGCTCCATGTGTACTTATAAAAGGTCTAATCTAACTGCCATTAAAGTCAACGGAAAGACTACCGCTAACTTCAACAGGACTTGCAGGCACCCTTGGGGCACTTCTGAAAGCGCAAATCTGTCTTCCACTGTGGCTGTCAGGCTGTTCAGTGAAGGGCAGGTGCCTTCCCTGAAATCCCATTGCTGCTGCTGCTTTGCAGTCACCTGCTGGAATGTGCAAACCATAGCCTGGGGCATCAATTCTTTGTCTAGACTCTAGGGGTTGGAAGCCCCAGGCCATTAGATTAACATTTGCGCATGGTACAAAAATTTGAAATAAACTTATTCTATTGTCCTCATTTTTCTGAGTGTTGCAGTACCCTGGTGTCAGATCTGCCACTGAACAAAGGAGGTACTGTGGGAATCAGCAACCTTAATGTCTTTCCTGATGTCTATGTCCATTTGCAAGTGACCGAGCAAATCAATTGTGGGTCAGAGCAAGTCAGCTGTGGTTCTTATGAAGAAGCTGGAGGTTTAATACTACCGTTTACTCCAGCAATTTGTGATCTTCCAAACACAGGTTGATAAATACCACTAAATACTAAGGGAAATATGTTAAAAATTCAACATCTAAGGGTATGGCCACTTGCAATCCCGGAATCTGATTGAAACTCATGCTCACTTTAATCTAGCTAGTTCAAATACTGAAGCAGTAAAGCCCATGGCAGCATGGGCTCCAACATGGGCTAGCCACCCCAATAATTACTTGGGGTCCCAATACAACTTCATACCTAGTAAGATACAAAAAGAGTTAAAAATAGTATCAAGTAATTCCCTTGCTCTAGAGTCCCATCCACTAGTTTTGGATTTTATAACTACATTTCCCCCCCCCTTTTTTTTTTGTTAGAAAATGCTTTTCCCTCTTGCTGTGTGAAAGACCCACACAGACAACAGGGAAAAGTGATTAAATAATTAGCTACATATGGAAATTAGGAAAATGGCTGCACACAAAGTGCTATCAAATGTACAAACTAAGCAAAATCAAAGAAGTTTCTCTAATCTTCCAGTTATAATAATCTCAGACGTTACTTGTAACAGGAGGTTCAAGATTTTTCAGAGAGAAATGCGATTTTTATGTTGAGGGTGTCCGTGTAATATTACCAGACACAGCGGTACAGTTCCATCTTCAAGACCTAGTCTGAAGGAAGAGGCCACCCATTTTACACACCCCATCATTCTAAAATTCCCTGTGCTAAATATACTTCTCACCATGAAAAGTATTTAAAAGTTTAATTACAAACTGTTATTTATTAAACTAATGCTGTAACAACCTTGATTTTAAGAAGCGATATAGTTCATTCATCAAGACCATGGGGTTGCACACAGGTAACTCCACTAGGCTATTTTTAAACATGATTATATTTCAGCGCAGAACAGCCCTTTAAAATTTGATTATCACATTGAAGCCACAGACATACTCACCTCTCAATGCATAGGCAAAATTTTGATTTCATAAAAGTCTTCTGATAAGGCCTTTGAATGCAAATATTTTGGGTTTCAGATAGTTTCGCAGACATGGCAGTGAAGATTCCTGACCTCTTACTACAGACACAAAGATAAGGCTGTTAATAGTCATATGATCATTAACTGGAAAAAAAAATATGTATCAATGTGTACTATGCATCACAACAGAAACAAGATTCAGAAGGACATGTTATATGGCCAATATTTCACTTCATAATCAGCACTTAAGTAATGTGAAATAATTAAGCTGATGGGAGGAAATGGGGCTGGAACATATGGCCCTGCTATGACCACTCAGGTCAATCTCTACTGACACTCAGAGATGAATGATGCCACGACAATACCCAATCAGTTTTACCAATGAAGACAATCCATTCACCTTGTTACAAAGAGCAACTCCACCATGGCCATACTCCAAAAGAGACTGCTAAAGACTCAAGCTGCTCAGACTGTAAACAGAGGTTTAACACCAAGACATAGGACATTTTTGTTGACCAATCTAATGCTGGTATGTTAATAAAAATAAAAATCAGTGTAACTTATGCTTTGAATTTGTCAGAGCCCAAGAAAAATTTCATAAAGCTATAAATCTGGATCATATCTAAAATGTGCAAGTATATTACCACTTCAGATCTGCTTTTGTGTAACGGTATATATTTTGCAGTCATAGGAGTACTAAATCACTAGATAGGTGGGTTTTGCTGCTGTTTTTATGTATTTAGTTTTTAACATGTGCTGGAAGTGAGAGACAAATTGCCATTTCTTCTCACAAAACAAAAAAGTAGCATGCTTGTGCCAAGTGCAAATAAAGCCACATACCTTAACCTGCCACACATTTTATACCCAAGTTTCCAAAACAGTAAGTATATTTGAAACTATCTATATATTCATAATATTCTTAATCATCATCAAACCCCACAAAAACTCTGGAAGAAATAGCAGAATATGTAGATGGAGCCTCAGAAACCTAATCAGACTCTGACAACCAAGCACCCTGTAATGCCATAGAGTAGAGCTTCCTATATTCTCTCTTTGTTAACGCTCCAGAGTTTGGATTGCCAGCTGGCATTCAAATATCTGGTCAATCCAACTCTCTGTACCTAGGCAGCCAACTGATGCTGGGGATGCTTATAAAGAAATCTAATTTGGATGGACACGGATCAGCAGAACATTTAATACACATGAGTAATAAATAAAGAACATTTTATGGTCATGGAGCAGAAATAAAACTTAGATAAGGAACAAAAATTAACTTTGACCTCATTACATACTGTGCTACCTTCACAAATTACTATCCCATCATAGTAGAAATCCCTACGATCCCATTGGGCACCATTAGAAGCATATTTCCTTCTGATCTAAAAGTCATACAGTTCACACTTCAGAAGCCAATCCTCTAATGCAGTGATTCTCAACCTTTCCAGACTACTGTACACCTTTCAGGGGTCTGATTTGTCTTGTGTATCCCAAGTTTCACCTCACTTAAAAACTACTTGCTTACCAAATCAGACATAAAAATACAAACATGTCACAGCACACTATTACTGAAACATTGCTTACTTTATTCTTTTTATCATATAATTATAAAATAAATTGATTGGAATATAAATATTGCACTTGCATTTCTGTGTGATACTTGAGCCTGTTTTTCACTTGTGAGCCTTGTCATTCCGGGAGGCAGTGAAGCAACACCAACAATTACGTTTTTCTCCATATTGAGTCTATTCCTGTAAACTGTTGTAAAACTAGGCAAATACTGTAACTAGATGAGTTGACGTACCCTCTGGAAGACATCTGTGTATCCCCAGGGTTATGTGTACCCCTGGTTGAGAACCACTACTCTAATGGACCAGCACGATCAGTAATAACATTTCTAAATGTATGTCACATATGATCCTGAAGGTCAGATGTATGTGTGACTATGTCTACTACTGTTAATAGGTAATTTTGGATCAAAGCTGACATTTTTGATTGTGAAAGAGAAAAATGTCACTTTGCATTTTTCAGTAAAACTGCTCAGCAACTGGAACACAAAACTCCACCCTTAACCACAAAACTCCACCCTTTAACAGGTTAAAGAAAACACCAATCCTTAGTTGTGCACAGGTTAGCAATACCGCTGTCTAGAAAAAGGGATGAAATTACATCATCTTGGATGAAGCAATGTCATTACAATTTCTGTGTTCTGAGGGAGGTTTTCAAAAGCGCTCAAGGGATTTAGGAACATACATCCATTTTAAAGCCAATGGGATGTGTTCCTAAATCCCAAAAGTGCTTTTGAAAATCTTCCACTCTACTTCTACACCTTCCTTAAGTCTTTGTTTTTAAAAACTTGTATTCCATTTATTATTTTTCATCTTTCAAAACAAAAAGTCCACAGTTCCCTAATTCATCAACTAATTCAATCACTTTCCCATGCACTGTGTGCGCGAGGATAAGAAATCAGTCCAAATACTAGAAAAACTTTCATGACAAAATAGATAAGGCTGGCCTGACACTTAAAATCTAAATGCCAGATGTTAATCCCACACACTTTTTTTTAGAAGTGTCATATATCATTATATTAAGAGGCTCGAGCTCAAAGGCACAACAGCCTCAATGGTTGATTCAATAGCTGTTCAATTTGTGGCACTCAGTTTTGTAGCTGTATTTTCACCTCAATAACCTGTAGTATATGCAAAGTGGAGACAACCTTTTTTTAGAGAAGGAGTAATCTAGTCTGTTTCAAAGAACATAGCAAGTTGTAATTAAAGTTGTGACAATACTGATTGTTTCCAAAATTTTAAAATATATCTAGTCATAAACAAAGACAATAATAATTTAAATGGCTATTCCTCATGTCATCTGATGATATCCAAGTGCTTTACAAGGGGAGGGGGTATTACTAACCCTCTTTTACAGGTGGAGAAACTGAGGTGAAGAATGGATAAGAAACTTGCCAAAAGTCACACAACAGAAGGGTTGAGAACACAACACAAGTCTTCTGACCTTGCTACTAGGCCAGCATTTCTCAAACCTTTGGAAGCTGAACCCCACTCCAGAAAAATGAAACCTGACACACCCCCACACTGCAATCACAGAAAGGGTATAAATTATATTCCTGGGGGAATTCTGCACCACTGCGCATGCGTAGAATTTATATCCCCCACAGATTTCTTTGCTTCCCCTCAGAAAAATGACTTTCTGACAGAGAAACAAAGGGAAGCCACAAGGGCGGTCATGCGACCATCCCCAGCAGTATGTTTTGGGGGCCCAGGGCAGCCAGCAGAGGCCAGGAGGAGGGACTGGGGAAGACCCGGCTGGTGGCTCCTACCCTGCGCCGGGCTCAGCTGCTAGTCCCAGCTGGGCTGGGGAGGACGGGACTTCCTCTTCCCTGGCACAGCATCCAGGGCCGGGGTCAGACCCAGTCCCAGATTTCTCCCCCGGCTGAAGGAAGTTCTGAAAACTCCCCCTCTGCCCCCCCCCCCACTGACTGCACCCATCGCTCCTCAGCTGCAGGGGGAGGGACCCTCTACAGGGAGCTTCTCCCCCATCCGTGCAACCCCTGTGCATCCAGACTCCCTTATATCCAGACACTCCCGCCGAGCCTCCCCCTCCCACTCCCCTCCCCCTCAATGAGCCCCACTCCCCCTGCACCTGGACCACCCCGATGAGCCACCCGCACCCAGATCTACACCCCACTGAGCCCCAACCAGCTGCATCTGGACCCCCCCACTGAGCCCTCACACCCACACCCCCCACCGAGCTCTATCCCCCATACCCAGACCCCCACCACTGAGCCCCAACCACCTTCACCTGGACCCCCTGCTGAGTCCCATTACCGTTGCACCCAGAACCCTCCAGCAAGACTCTGTGCATCCAGATCCTCCCTGCACCTAGATCCTCCACTGAGCCACCCGCACCCAGATTGCCCCACACAGAACCCTCTCAACCCACACCTGGATCCCCCCACACTTGGATCCTGCCTTGCTGAGCATGCCTGCTGACACCTGGTACACCTGGCGCAGAGGGGAATAACTATATAAATCAATCAATCAATCAATAAATGTGGAGGCTCCAGCCTGGCAGTAGGGAACACAAGCCACTGGCTGCACGGAGGTGGGAGATCACCCTGCAGTCCCCTCCCTCCCCTACCCTCCACCCCAGACACGGACTCAGTGGTGAGGCTTGACCCGACCCTGACACAGTGCAAGAGCTGGGATGGCCCCAGAAACATCCCAGGGTCCTGCCCCTCCACGCCCGGTGCACCAAGATAGCAAGTGAAAGGGACAAAGTCTCACATGTATGCCCAGCCCTGACCCCCAATCCAGGTGTGAGGCAAGCAGGCTCTGGATGGCAGGATCCAATTTTGGAGGGACTTAGTGTGGGGGGGATCCAGGTGTGGGGTGAGAAGGTTCTGTGTGGGGCAATATGGAGCAGAATTCCCCCAGGAGTATCCTTTGCATGCACACTCTTACCTATGCCCATAACACTTTTGGAAATGCTGGTGTAGATATTCGTAATGTCATGCTTCCTCTCCTTTCTTACATGTACTTTCATGAACAGTGAAATAACTAGTTAATAACATTCTCAACTATTACTTAGTCCTGCCTTGAGTGCAGGGGACTGGACTAGATGACCTTCTGAGGTCCCTTTCAGTCCTACACTGCTGTGAGTCTATGATTTAGAGCAGTGTTTCTCAAATGCAGCCACAAGGGGCTTTTTGTGCGGCCACAACAGCCTCCTGGGCGGTAACGGGGGAGACGAAATATCAGCATCTCCCCCTCCCTCCCTCCCTGTTCTTCCTGGATGCGCTGCCCTACACCACCTCTGAAGACAGGTGGGGCACAGTGCTGCAGGAGCAGGATGAGTTCTCAACCCACCTGGGGGTGGGGGCCAGCAGGGGGGCTTGGGCTTCAGCCCTGGGATGGTTATGCGGCAGGCTCCAGTGGCAGGACTTCAGGAGCCAGGCCGCGGGGCTTTGGGTTCTGGCCCCCAGCTCCAAATGCTGGCCCCCAGCTCCAGTCCCAAGCTCCAGTCACATGGTAGCGGGAGCTGGCCCTGGTGCTGACCCCTGGCCCAACCCGTGTGGCAGCAGG